CGGACACGGGTACCTCCACCGGGGTGGGGCCCCTCCCATCACCGGCACCGAGGACAGAAATGACCCCAGGCTCCTGGGGACCAACGAGGGCTCTTTGTCTGCGCTCCAGGCTGTGGGGTCTGGGCGGGAGGCAGGGGTGTGGCGTCCTCGGTCAGAACAGAGGCCCCCCTGGAGGACCGATGGCACATCTAGCCCTACACGCACATCCGCTTGCTGAGGAGTGCCAGCCACTCGAGCTTTCCTGCAGACGCACAGAGGAGGCAACGAGAGGGAGGGGGGCGGTGTCTCTCCCTCACAGGGCGCTGTGTCTAAGGTGGGGCCCCCTCCCTCCCTCTCTAGCAGCTGAACCGTACCTGCGGTGAGGCTGGGGGAGGGTTCACAGCCCAGCCCCCCAACTTCGCACCACCCCCCTCCCGCACACAGCCTGCCCACCTAAAGCTGGATCCTCTCAAGTTCCCTCAGACGCCTCGGCTCCTCGGCCACGTCTGCGGTTGGTCCAGGCTGCTGAATTGTACGTGCTTCCCCCAAGAACCAGCAGCACCAAGGCCAGCGGCCTCACGTGGTGGTTCATCAAGCTGAAATATAACCAGCCAGGGAGCTCCAGCCCTCGACCAGCTTGCCAGTAGCTTCCGACAGATCTTGGTGCTCACGTCCTCCCGTGCTCTCTGGAGGGAGACACAGCCTCACCTATGGGTCCACGAGCCCTGCGCTGCACCCCCGCACCCTGACAGAGGCTGGGGGAAACCTGCAGGCCCAGGCCCTGAGCCCCTGCCTGGCCTTGCTGCTCCGGGCCCCCCTGCCTTCTTTCCCCTCCGGAAAGCAACACAGGGGTGCCAACCTCCCCACTGACGTGGACAGCGGCATGAGTTGCAGCCTGCTGCCAAACCTGGCCACCTGCCACCTGCCCCCAGCCCTTCCACGGCAGCCCACACCCCCGTGCAAGCTGTGCTTTCCCCAGGGGGAGCACGTTCCCTGGACAGCGGGTTCACGTGCAGCCGATTCCCCCAGCAGCTTGCGGGGGGCGGGAGACCCGTCCACGCACCCTGACCTGGGCAAGAGGGCAGGGGAGGGCCACGCCCAAAGCCCAGGGGAGGACTTTGCTCCCACCCAGGTTCTGCCAGCCCCTTGCAAACCTCAGAGTTGAACCGTGTGCCTTAGGACCCTTATCCCAGCTGCTCCACAGGCAAGCAGAGGGCCCGGGACAGAGGAGGGTCGGCCAAGGTGGAGGTCCAGGTCCAGGGTCCTGCCCACAGCCGCTGCTCCTCACCGTCACAGCTGAGCAACCGTGAAACCTCTTTTCTACACTAGGTGGAAAAGACTACTGAAGCAGCTTGCTTTGAAGGGCACGGTTTATTTTAAAGTAATTACAGCTTTGCATCAACTTTCAAATATAGCACAGAGAGGTCCCCGGGGCCCTTCACCGTGTCCCGAGGGACTGGCAGCTTACAAGATCGTGGGGCGCCACCAAACCAGGCACGTCGGGAGCGCCCCGGAGTGCTTTCTCACAGCTGTGCGTTCCTGTGCCTACTGGGCACTCAAGAGGCAGCACGGGCCCCTCCCCACAACGCTGTCTGTCCCTCGGGCTACCTTTAGAGCCTCTAACCCCAGACAGCCGATCACGACACCCCTGGCTTTTGAAAGACTGCCAAACTCTCTGATTTCCCACAGAATGGGGGTGGGGGGGAGGGCGGATTTCCAATAAACTCAAGAGGCCGTGATTGACCCCTGGCCTGGCGAGTGCACTTTCTGACCAGCACATGTCGTGGGAACGACGACCTGGAGATCCCGGCTCTGTCCATGCAAGGGAACAAGAGTCCACAGCCCGAGCCGCTCCGGCTCTGGGCAGTCCAGGAATCCCCTCGCGCTCCCGCCCAGCTCTCCGCCAGGGTCTCAGGGCGGCCTGAGACAACCCAGGGGGTCAGACACCCGGGGGGGGGGCGACCCAGATCCGGCCCCCCGAGCCAGCGCTCCAAGGGAGGGCTCCTGCACTCTCAGCTTGGGAGGCTGGTGACTCACCCTCCCGGTCCCACCGTCTCCCTGCTAGCGGGACGTGCAGGGAAGGAGGCATTCGGGCAGGGCCGGCGCCACCAGCGGGGCTGGGTGTGGGGGGAGACCTGCGGCGGCGGTCTCTAGAAGGGAACGGGACGGGAGCGCACGAGGCTCTCTCCGGCGCAGGCTCCGACTAGCCAAGGTGCCGAGCAGGACGCGCACGCAGAAATGCTGCCGCCGGGACCGCGGGGCGGCGGGCTCACCCAAGGAGCCGGGCCCGCAGAGCGCCGCGCAGGGGCCGAGTTCGAGGTGCGGCGGCGGCAAGCTCCGGGCAGGGCCCGGAGCCGGGGAGACCTTCGGCGCCACGGGCCTGTTCCGCCCTTCCGCGCCTCCGCGGAGCGCCGGCCGGCCCCGGGGACAGCGCCCCGGGCCCAGGCCAAGGCGGCGCGCCGGCGGGACAGCCGTGCGCAGGCGCGGGCGGGCAAGCGCTGAGGGCGTGCGGTCACGCTGCGGCCGTGCGCCGGCGCAGTGGTAAGTAAACACGCGCGCTGGGCCCGAGAGGGCGGGCGCAGGCGCAGTGGGGGTGAGGCGGGCGCGGCGCAGGCGCATTGGCCGCGCACGCGATGGGCGGGGTGTGGACGGCGCTGCGATGGCTGCCCGCGGGTGTGGGACCAGCGAAGCCCCCGGCCCCTCTCCGAGCCCGGCCTCCTGACGCCGCCAGTGGGCGGGGCCGCCCGGGCCGCCTCCGCCGCTGTCATGTATCCGACGCCGCCGCCGGCGCCGCATCGGGACTTCATCTCGGTGACGCTGAGCCTCGGCCAGAGCTACGACGGCAGCAAAAGCTGGCGGCGGCGCTCGTGCTGGAGGGTGAGGGTCCAGCCCGGGGTCGCGGGGTCGCGGGGTCGCGGGGTCCCGGGGACGCGGGGTCGCGGGGTCGCGGGGTCGCGGGGTCCCGGGGACGCGGGGTCCCGGGGTCGCGGGGTCCCGGGGTCGCGGGGTCGCGGGGTCGCGGGGTCCCGGGGTCCCGGGGTCGCCGGCCCAGGGACCGATGGGGCCGGCCTGCCGCGCTCTCTGGGGCCCGAGCTCCGCGGGGTGGGGGCGGCGCGCGGCTTCCCGCGCTGAGAGCTGTCCCTCGGGGCGGCGAGGCAGGAGCCCAGCCTGTGCGCGCTCTGGAGTGTGCCCAGCGGTGTCGGGCTGCGGGGCGTCCGCGCCCCGCTTCTGGGCAGGTGCGAGGTCCCGCCGGCGGCCGGAGCCGGCGCGCGCCGCGTGCGGGCATCTCTGCACTGCCCGCGCGGCGGCTCGCCCGTCGCTGGCGAGAGGGCAGCTCCCCCGGTGCCGAAACCGGGCTGGGGAGTTCCTGGTTGTCCCCTCTGCCCTGGCAGCGGTTGGAGAGGTTCCCGGTTGTGCCGCTTTCAGTCGGAAGGCTCATTCTCCGTCCTCCCCCTTAGAAATGGAAGCAGCTGTCGAGATTACAGCGGAACGCGATCCTCTTCTTGCTCACGCTTCTGCTGCTCTGTGCACTCGTGTCCTACCTCAGCGTGGCTGACCAGTGGAGAGGTATCGGCTGCTCGGGTGCCTTAGCGTGATGTGTGTGTGTCACCGAGGGCTGACCGGGCAGAAGGGTCTGGCAGTCCACCTTAAAGGTCAACGGGTAGAGCGTTTTTATCCGCGTGGCCAGAACACGGATGAGAGTTTCCCCTTGTCCAGCTGCTCCCTTAGTGTCTGGTGTTAAGCCCCGGCATCTCCATCCCCTCTGCCTCGCAGAGAAGTGGAGGTCCTGAGGTCGCAAGCTCGGTCCAGATGCACCCCGTGAACTTCCTCACGCGCGTTCCCGTGTGTTTGGAAAGGCCCGGGCAGGGTTCCGGTGAGCGCCTAGAGAATCCTGGTGAATTTCTCTGTTAAGGTCCTGGCTGGCGTCCAGCAGGAAGGCTGAGGGGCCGCTGCAGGTGGCTCAAGCCAGTGGGCCGCTTGCTACCCTCCGTAGTCCCCGGAAGGGAAGAGCTTAAGGGCATGTGTTTGTGGGGCGTGGGTTGGGGTCAAGGCCCAGAACCGCCAAGGGCTTTGAGAAAGGTGTGATTCCCTGTGGCCGTCCTTGGATTCGTTTCAGTGACCTTCCCCGGGTCTCACGACGTCCTTTCATAAGGAACCGTGCCTGCCTGGACGTGCTCTGTGACACGCTTTGAACCTCCTCCAGGCTGTGTGGCCTGTTGGGGATCAAACCAGTTCTCTTGTTTAGCTGTGAACGGCCGGTCAGCAGAAGAGCGGAAGATGAGACCTGCGGATCCGCCCGTGCTGCCAGCTCCTCAGAAAGCAGATGCTAATCCAGAAAACTTCCCAGGGGTTTTACCTCAGGTACTTTGGATCACCTGCACGTGGGGTCGTCGCCGGGGTCCGACCCGCGGGCGTTTCAGAACGGTGTGTGGTGTTTCAAGCAGACGGGGAAGCATTCTTTCTCTCACCATCTGTGTGACCCTCTTCCGATCCCAAGGGGGCCTCCTTCCTGTCCTCTGGAGGAGGCGCCTCCTCCCGCCCGCCCTCCGTTGAGGACTGGCTGCTCCCGGGCCCCCGCCCTCCGTCCCTGGACCCGGCGCCCTTCCCTTGCCACGGCGTTCGAGGATGAAGTGCAGGAGTCCCGGGGCCCAGGCCCGCGAGAGTGTTCTCTCCGGCTCCATCCACGGGGACGTGTCCTGAACTTCTCTTGCTACCTTTAGGGACTGTGACAGTCTGGAAGCATCCCGGACCAGGAGTTTAACCCGCCATCCAGGGCCACGCCAGCCCGTTGGCGCAGTCTCCATGGCGGTCGGTCGGGGCCAGGAGATGGCGAGTCAGGATCTCCTGGCCAAATCTGCGTGTTGTGATGAAAAACGAAAGGAATTTCCTCTGGGGCCGTGTGCTGCTAGCCAGTTCACACAGTCCGTGGGGTTGGGTCTGATAGGGGAGCATCTCAGGGGAAAAGGAAGAGCAGCCCGCAGGCAACTGAAGTGTTTTCACGGGTGACTCTTATTTTTATCTAGAAGCCTAAGAGGCATTTCCGACGGCGACCGCCCAACCTGCAGATTCGAGCCCCCGGTAAAGACTCCGAGGACCGGAGGCAGGACGACACCCAGCGGAGGGACGAGGCGGTGGGCGACGCTCGTCGAGAAGAGAACACACAGAGAACAGTGGTCAGGTACGAGGAGCGCCAGAGGAGGCTGGACGTGCAGAAACGCTGAGGCCCGCGTATCTGACGTTCTCTGAAAACCAAAGAGGAGGGGAATGAGCACGACGTCTAGAGTACATCTTGCTTTCAAAGCAGGCAGGATCCAGAGCGGGACCCTGGTGGGGGCGGGCCCCGCCTTCTGCTTGGTCCTGCTCGGAGTGGAGGGCAGCAGGGAGGCCCACCAGGTGGCGGGGACCTTGGGCTTTTGCATCTCCACCCTCAAGCTGGCTGATTGCTCTTCCTTCTCTCCCCGAAGCTGGAGGGGAGCGGTGATTGAGCCGCAGCCCGGCACCGAACTTCCTTCGAGAAAGGCAGAGGCCCCCCACAAGCCTTCCTCACAGGCCCCCAGGATTCAGAACCAAGCAGGTAAGGCCCCACCTGCACCCTGCTGGGCCTCACCTGGACATTCTGACGGAGAGGGTGTGCGGACGCCAGAGAGCCTGGGAGATGACGCAAGGCTCCTTGGTGGCCCTTCGCTGCAGCCACGGGCCGCCCGTGTGGGCAGGAAACTCGTTTCCCTGTTTCCCGGCCTGGGTCTGTGCCACGGGACATGGCAGGGGGAGGGCGCCTGGGGAATGTGGAGACACAGCCGACCCCTCTGCGTCTCCACTCAGGCCGGACGGGCTCTCCCGGCAGGTCTGCGGCGTCTCGCGTGGTGGCACCTGTAGTGGAGGGCCTTCTGGGCATGGGTGCTTTGTAAGCCCCGTGCAGCCTGTCTGCTCCGGATCTCACGGTGCCCTCTGAGGTCACGCGCCGGTCGTATCCCCATTCCACAGATCAGAGAACCAGGGTAGGCTTGTCACGGCCAAGGCCACGTGCCTGGTGGAGCGGGGCTCGCGCCAGCTCACCCAAGTCAGGGCCCAGGCTGTGGCCCTCTGGTCCCAGCTGCCGTTGCCTCCAAAGAAAGGGGGACGAGGGAGCCCGGACCCGGGACGCGCGGCCCCTGGTGGAGGCGGACGGGCCCCTGGTGGAGGCAGACGAGAGACCGTGCTGTCCTTGCAGGCCTTGGAGGCCTCGCCGCCTTGGCAGACGTGTCCAGCCGTGAGGACCCGACCTTCAGCACCATCGACTGCTGCCCCTACGCTGGACAAGGGCGCCCCCTCACCGTGCCCCATTCAGCTTGGGGCTGCACAGGGGCCCTGTGTGAACCCTGACCGGGGCCGGTCTCGGTGACCTGCTCTCTTCCTTCCAGCTTCCCCGAACGAGCGTCAGAGGGCCGTGATCGATGCCTTCCGCCACGCATGGGCCGGATACCGCAAGTTCGCCTGGGGCCACGACGAGCTGAAACCCGTGTCCAGGTCCTTCAGCGAGTGGTTTGGCCTGGGCCTGACGCTGATTGACGCCCTGGATACCATGTGGATTTTAGGTCTGAGAAAAGGTACCTGCTCGTTCCCTAGCACACGGCCAAGTTCTTGGGTGACTCTAGGGCGAGCGAGCGAGCGAGCCGTGAGCGGGAGGGGGTAAACGCTGTCGTTTCCATCGGGCGCGCTCTCCCTTCGCGTGGGTGACGGCAGCGGGCGTGCTGGGCCTGGCCAGTTGCTTTGCCGTTTGACGTCGGGCGCCCCGGGGGACGCTCAGGACACCCGCTGCGGACGTGGGCCGCGGCGTCCAGGGGCGGTTCCAGCCGGATCCTCTGTTGCAGCCGGAAGGGGCTCTGTGGCGGGAGGTGGCACGGGATCCGGTAGACTCTCGGTGCCCCGGGTCTCTCCCTCACGGCCTGCTTACGCCTCGCAGGTCGGGTGGCTTGGAGATCGCGGGTCTTTGGTTGTTTCTGAATTGATAAAGTCCGTTTTCCCGCTAAATTACTCACGCGGCCCTTTGTACTGCGGTGTTCCACCGTCGACCGCCTGTGCTCTCGAGCGCACGCCGCCGGCTCCCTTTTCTCTGTGCGCGTGAGGACGCGACGGCTCCTTCCCCGGCTGCAGGACACGACGCGGCGAGCCTGCGGGAGAAAGAGCGACACGAGAATGCAGGGGGCCTCCCGAGCGAGAGGTCACGGGGGCGCACTAGGACCACTGACCCGCTCCCCTCCCCACACTCTTCCGTGCCACAGAGTTTGAAGAGGCCAGGAAGTGGGTGTCTAAGAAGCTGCGGTTTCAGAAAGACGTGGACGTCAACCTGTTTGAGAGCACGATCCGCATCCTGGGCGGGCTTCTGAGCGCCTACCACCTGTCCGGGGACGACCTCTTCCTGAAGAAGGCCGTGAGTGTCCCGGCGCCAGGGGGACTCACGCCTGCGGGGAGAGCAGTCCCGAGCGAGCGTGAGCGTGCGGGCGGTTGTCGCTGGGCTCCCGGGACTCGGGGAGGGCGGGGGAGGGGGCTGTCAGTTCCCAGTTCTCCGTGCTCCCATCCCTTTGAGCCTGGTTTCCGCGCGTGTGCGTGAGCGGGCATCGCGCCGCCTGTGGGCACCGCGACTTGCAGGGAACCTCTCTCGGAAATCCTCGAGGCCAGCTCGGTTTGGCTGCCGTGGAGTGTCGAGGCCACGGGAAGCCAGCAAAGTCCCGTGTCCACGTGACTGGACGGAGGTGGGGGACGGGCTGGCGTCGTGGAACGGAGGCGAGGCTGCCGTGCGGCAGGGAGCCTTGATTCCTCGCTGTGTCGTGTATCAGGAGGATTTTGGGAATCGGCTCATGCCTGCGTTCCAGACGCCCTCCAAGATCCCCTACTCCGACGTGAACATCGGCACCGGGGCCGCCCACCCGCCCCGCTGGACCTCGGACAGCACGGTGGCCGAGGTCACAAGCATTCAGCTGGAGTTCCGGGAGCTCTCGCGCCTCACGGGCAGTAGGAAGTTTCAGGTACGGAGGGGCCGGGCCGTTGGCCAGGAGTGCGGCCGGCTCGCCACAGGAGGTGCGGGCTCGCGTGCGGGTCGACCCTGGGCCGCCCCGAGACCCCCCTCTCGTTTCCTTTCTCGTTGCCCGTTTCTCTTCGGCAGATCCCGCTTTCTCAGTGAGAACAGAGACCGGGGCGTCGAGGCGGCGTCTGGGGGCCGAGTCCCCGCCCGGCCCTGCCCTGCCGCAGGCCCGTGTCCTCAGGGTGCCAGCCAACGGCCTCCCACATGCTGCGGGGTTGGGGGCGGGGGGGG